GGCGTTCTCAAACCCCTCAACGGAAAGGGTTTGGGGGGTTTCGTCATGCCGGAGAACATGGAGTGCTACCGTGTTCCCCCGAGCACAACGAACCCTGATGACGAATGTACACCTGGACTGCACCCTAGTTTTGCCTATCTTTGCAGTCAGGGGTGCAGCCACGGTGGTGGCTGCTACGGGGTTCCCCGTATGCCTACAATTAGTAGTGGTAGGTAGGTAGTGTGAGGTGAAATTGAGAGAAGAATATAGCTTTTTATAAAAAAATAAAAAAATGAGGGTGTGTATCCAGCGGCCTAGCTCAGTTGGTAAGGTACGCAAGTGGCATTCAGGAGGTCTTGGGTTCAATCCCCATTGCCGTCATGCACCTTCCTGGGCATGCTTGGCGCCCGCCACCTAGAGATAGCCCGTTGGTCCCCCCAATTGGCAATAAAAAGCAGTCTCTGCTGATGATCATAGGGGGAGGGGTACTCAGGGAGGCACAGCGACTGGCCACTCAGATGATGCTCGGTCCCTCTGCTACAGGCTGTCCCCTGGCCGGTGTCCCCCAGTGGGGGATCCCTGAAGGCTATCAGGCCACCCTAAGGCTATCAGGCCACCGTTGTCAGATTAGACACAAGATTGAATTTACCTGGGCTGGTTAGTCCGATGATAATACCTCGGAAAAAAAAAAAAAAAAAAAGACGGTGTGTGGTGTTTGGGGGAAGAAGGGCAGGTTCCTGCTGAGAAAATAAAAATGGCCACCAACAGGCCTCCCCTTAGTGGGGGGATTAGGTAGAAGAGTCCAGAGGTAGGGCCACCCTGGGGCATACACCGTAATAAGCCCAGTCGAGGTACAGAGGTAAGAGGAGAGCTTGCGGGAAACTGTTGCGGGGCCAAGTACGTACTGATGACTGAGACAGCTGCTGTTCGGGATGAAGACTCTAGGGAGGATCTTGCAGTAGGGACTCTCTTAGGGACAGATAATGGTGGAATAGCCTGCTTCCCGCTTTCACAAATAGCATATAACCAACAAACAACTATCAGAATAACAATGGGACAACCACAATAATGCCACCAGAGAGGGGTCTAGGGGGTGTCCATAGGTAGAGGGGCAGATAAGAGGCTGTACATCTACCGATATATAGGGTAGAACCTCTAGGTAGCAATTACAACAACAGCGGCATATACAAACTAACAAGACAACAACTTAGGAGGCATAGGAATGGCTCCTAGTGCCCAAAGTAGATGTGTGAGAGGGCTCGTCCGACTATGCTTCAATCAGGGCTGAGTGGGGTAAGTGGGGTCCTGCTTAGCCCTGGTGCCTACAACCGCTGTCTGGTCAGGTCACCCCGTCGCCATGTCTAGAGGGTGACAATCCTGAGTGGTAGACACTGAGGTAGGATGGTGGGGGTAGGGGTGCACGGCAGAGAAATTATAATGAAAGTGGTAGGTTGAAAGGGAGTCTCATAAGAGATAAGGACCTCTATAAATCGTCTGGATAACCACAGGACCGACTTCTGAAGGTGGCTGTCATATGCCTACCTTCCTCCCCCGATAAATACAGCTATAATGACCGTACGTTGTATTCGGGGGAAGAAGGTAGCATCCAACCTCTACAACAACCTGGGCTTTAAACCACCAGTACTTGGCCCGGGCCAGCTATCGATGCAAGCCTGGAATGCCCCTGCGCACCAATTTTTGCCGAAGCGCCAGGGTACCGTTTCAATTTGTTTTTGGCAGGCGCTTCCCCCCATTGTGGTCCAGTAACCCGAAGCCCTAAAGGCGTGGCGCGTCTTCCCTGCCCACATCTCCATCCTAGTCCCCTGACCAGCAGACCTCCGCTACCCACCGCTCCCGATCCCCACCCAGCCACTCCCTAGAAAATTGTACTAGACGTTCTCGAATGTCGGCTGCGGGCCCCTCACTGCGACTTTCAGAGGCCAGAAACGGGACAAGGCCACCCACAACTTTCGTAGGCCGGAAACGCGACAAAGGCCATTGATGAAATTTATCAAAGGCGGCCCGCCACATTTTCTTTTTCTCCGAGTAGGGAAAGTACTGATGGTTTAAGCCCAACCAATCCAATTACCTGTTGAATCTACACAGGATGGCCTTTCACGCCTTTTCTATTGTGATTATAGTTTTACGGGGAGCCTATAGCAGCCACACCCATGTTCAAGTCTCCAACGAGGGGACATGCGGGAGCTGCACACACAAGCAGCTGCGATACCTGCTACAACAGGTAGGCAATACCGGCCAGGGGTCAGCTGGTAGCATGAGGGCTGAACTTCTCCGCCGGGCCAGTCATTGTGCCTCCCCTCCAGTCTCCTCTCCCTGCAAACATCATCAGTCTCTGCTCAATACTGCTCGGGGAACCAACGACCTATCTCTAGGCAGCGACCACCAAGCTTGCCCAGGAAGGTACATGAGACCAGTGGGGATTGAATGCAAGACCTCCTGAATGACACTTGCATGCCTGAGCTAGGCTGCTTATTAAATCGTTGTGAATTACTTACCACCATTTCAAAGAAAAGAAAGAAATGAAAAGTGTAAATAGGCGGCAGGAGGTCCTTGTTTAATTATCACTGGCCTCATGTACCTACCTTTGGGCATACTTGGCGCCCCCTGTCCGATGTTCGTAGGGGGCCGGGAGATTTGGAGGTTCAGCAACTGGCAAAATGCTCAGCCTAGTGTTACCAGTTGAACCCTGGTCGGTGTTACTTGCAACAATCTCACTTGATGAATTTGACAAACTAAACTTGTTAGGGAGTCACGTTCCTCGCGGTAATCATGTTACTCCACTTTATGAGTTCAACATGCTATGCTTGTTCAAGCATTAGATCACCACCTAACCTGCCCACAACCTACCAATGTAATACAAATAGGAGAGAACGAAGGAATTCACAATCAGAGGATTTATTACTTTTTCGAGAAAATACGAATACAAGGGAAAAATACATGAATCCGGAAAGGGGAGGGTAGTCAAGGCAAAAAATGATCCATTGCACACGTTCGCACAAACTGTGGTACAAAGCATGTAGCCCATCTCCACAAATCGATGAAACATGAAGCAGTGAACCTATCAATAGAGAGAGATTTGTACAGGTGAAAGAGAATTTATAGGAGGCAACCAGTTAAGGAGTAGAAAGAGAAATTTGTGGTTCTTCTATTCCTAGAGTGCGGACCCATAGTTATCGGTTAGAAAATTTGAAGGCATCAGGCAACATGAAGAAAAAATGTTGCAAAAGTTGGCCCAGCATACTGATTTACATTTCAATAATAATTCCAACTTGTGAAAAAAAATTTGCAAAAAGGTCGATCATTCATAAGAACCGAAAACAAAAACTGATGTGACGATCCACAAAAGGCAGGCAAAAAAAATTTGCACAATACATATCCTAGATTGTCACAAGCACCTTGTTTGCAGATCATTTTAGAGACCTTTTTTTATTCGTTTCTTTTTTTTTCTCAATACATGTCGTTTCTATTTTGGGACCAGCAGTCTGACCTACCGTGACTAGGAGGAAACAAGACATGCATACACACCGACATATTAGACATACCACTACAGCTTCTCTATCACCTAAGCTATTTGCTAACAACATTTATTACTTCCAAATCAAAGGACTAACGGGATAGCCTACTAGCAATAGCAGCCCGGACACTAAGGACTATAAAGAAATGTTGATACAACAACATCTGAAACAATATGATAATTCTTTTGGTACAACCCTCGTTCGTCATGTCTAGTGGAGAAAGAAATGACAATATCCTTAACAATTCTGTGACAATTATGAAAAGCATGATATGACAAATTTCATAAGACAAATTTGAAAAGTAAGCTAAGATGGCACAAAATCTATCTTCATGTATGGGGGAGAAACAAATGACAATATCCCTAACAATCACTGTACTAATGTAACGCTGCACCTGACTGAATTTGTTTCAGAAGGTACCGAAGGTGATATTTCTTACATTGCTCTACCCTTCCATACAAATATTCTTCTTGGATTTGACTGTGTTGGAAAAACAATATTGCATGCTGCACATCATGGGGTGCGGTCCTGAATCAAGGGGGCGTTTTATAAGAGGAGCAAGGGGATAGGAACTGCATGGCTTCCTGCATGTGCTGGGATGAGTCATTGGGGATAAATAGAAAGGGGAAGCTACTGTAGTGAGGGGTAAAAAAAATTCCATTGTTGGTCAAGTTCTATTCCAATCCTATCTCCTTTCTAGTGGAACTGCGCCCCTAACGTTCCGGGGGTTACCATGCAAGCCCCAGGGAAACCCCACAGTTACAATGGGCAAACAACTTAGAATAAGGGAAGAAGGGGAAAAAAAGCACTTGCGAAAAGTGTACCTACAAAAGTTTCTTTTCCACCAGGACCTATGATGCCGGGGAAATGGCCATGAGCCATATTACGATGGAGGCCTTGATGGCCACTTTAGGACAAAACAAAACCTTATCGGGATCAGTATAAGGAACCCATATCGGGATCAGTATAAGGAACCCTCCCTAAGGTGGCCATCAAAGACTGCTCCCTTTTCACTAATGAGCTCACCATAACACAATATAATGGAAATCCAGAACTTGGTGGATCAATTCTATGGGCTGTGTCACAAGACGAGCAACTGCGGGCGTAAATCTATGAGATGGTAGACAAAC